GTGCTTTTGGCATGAATATAAAGTAAGGCAGGAAACACTTGGAATACTGGACTGCTCCCAAATGGCAGGCACCTCAGAAATAAGGCAACCAGTTGTCCTTTAAGGTGCTGAGTGCTCATGTAGCCCAGCACCCTGGTGCCAGTGCTGGGTGCTCTCCTCTTGAGGCTCTGCCTTTGGGTCAGCCATAAGCTTTGGGAATCAACTGCAGCTGTGGCCTCTCTGGGACTGGGACTGCAAACATTATCCCTCTTCTCCCCAGCGTCTTTTGGCTCTGCAGAATAACTTCATCACCTGATGTGTCACCATCACAGAACAGCTTCAATTTAGCAGCACGTAATTCCCAGTTGTCTGCAAAGGGGCCCTGTGTATCACAGCCCCTGCCTCCAGGGCTGGCTCAGAAAACCTGCCTGTGATTGCTCACAATCACGGTTAACATAGGAGATGGTATGGCAGGGATTCACCCGGCAGCAGGCAAGTCTCAGAGCTACCATTCCTGTCACCTGCAAAACTGGCCACATCCTCTGGATGATGGAATTGTTTAATATCACAGGATCCATTGTGCATGGCAGGGCTGCTTGAAAGACATTAATACAGGAAATAATACTGTTCAATGCCAGCTTAAATGCTTGACGGGTTATACAGTAATGTGAAAGGATGGGAGTCCTCCATGCCCCAGGAGTCACACCACTGCAAGCTGCATTCTTACTTTGCGAGACATTTCTTTTCTTTTTATGGCCCAGCGATAAAAGGTTGTATCAGCATGGATTCAAAATGACCTTCATCCAGCCTGGATCAGCATGGTCAGAGATGCCAGGTCCAGTGCACCTGCCCTGCAGAAGGCTTCAGCATCTGCCACTGTTCAGCCCTTCAGCACACCTCCAAAATAGGAACTTGGCAAACAAAGCTAACAGAGTGCATTGCTAAGCAGAACATTCTGCCGAGTCCCGACACCAGGACTGCATGTTATAGGGCACTTGCCAATTCCTGAGTCAACTTTATTTATTATACACTAGGAAGGTCATGACGAATCTCAAAAGATAAAATCTGTGTCTGTCAAGCCGCCTTCCTTATTTTCATTGGCCCAGACCCTCACGTTCCATACCAACAATAACAGGACATGGGTTCAAGAGGCACCATGAGTGCAGCTTACCCTGAGATGGCCCAGGCTTGTTTTGCATTCTTTGTAGAACTGATCCAGGCTGCTCAATTCTCTCTTTATTTGGACATTTTTTTTTTTTCCAGGATGCAATCACCACACTGCACAAGAGCCTTACACCCCTGGGAACCCCAAAGCACAGGCACAAGCTTCCACAGCCCAGATGATGCCAGATGCCCAAACGATGCAGCTGCAAGTTCTCCAGCTGCATGGAGTATCCAACTGAGATATGCTTAACTCCCATTTAGAAGTAATATCCTGGACTAATACCAGCCCAAAAGTCATCCCTATGACCTCATCAACAGCTGAGGCAGCAAGATACCCCGTGCACATGGATTTTCTTCACTGTCATTATGAGCTGTTATCTAATCTCCTTGCCTTAGGTAAGGCAAAAAATCAGAGCTGCCTAGGGCTCTGGGTAAATCCTTGGCAAACAAAGCCTGAGCAATTGCAGCTCCGGTGCTGTCAGTGTCCAAGCGAGCAGGTTTAAAGACTGCCCTGGGCTCTGTAGAAGTTGCAGTCACCTCTCTGGATTGCAGCTGGACACTCCCAAAAACCACAGTCCCAGGTTTGGAGTTCAGTGCAACAGGCTCAGACCACACACCATGGATCTGCACTCCAAATAACCTCATCTTCACACAGTTTATTCTGAACCTGCAGACTGAAAGCTCTTTTCCCAGTCCTCACCTTTCACTTGCTGAAAAATCACCACGCTACTCTCAGACCCAAACTTGGCTTACATAATTTTCTTTGACGTGGTGCAAGAATTCCAATTCTCAAAATGAATTTCTGATTTCCTGAGATCTGGGTAGTACTTTCCTATCACACTGCAGGATCTCAGCAGTGACTACTGCAGTCACACAGCAGAGGAATTACACTGCTTATGAAAGTGGTGCATCTTACAGCCAAACACCCTCCAGCAGTCCCATCCTCTGGGTCATTTCTGAGGAAACATCTCCAATATTCAGAAGTGCCCCCATTTGTCCTCAGAGCAGCACTGAAGAGGAAATTGGGAAGTCAGGGAGGAATACAGCTCCACTTACTATTCAGCAAGACTCCAACCTGCAGCGAGTCACATCATCTAACCTGAGGTGCTTATTTGCGGGATCAGAAAGGTGGATTCCTCACAGGATCACTCAGAGCTGGCAGAATTCTCTCTCCCTCCCCTGAAGGAACACACAAGGAATCTCACTGCTTCCTTGGTCACTTCAGTCAAATGCAGGACAGTGGGAATCTTTCCTGTGAAAGTAAATCATGAGGTCCACAGGGCTTCAGATAAGGTGCTCAGAGCTTTTAACTCCCCAAAACTTCTCCTTGAAACACATGATGGCCAGGAGCACAGCAGGCACTTGTATGCACTATTCTTAGCACCAAAGGCTTCCTGTTTGGGGGCAGAAGTGACAAGGAAGATCCTGCTGCTTTAAATACTGTGAAAAGCTTTTTAGCCAAAAACATTATCCACCCACTAGTCGGGAAAACACCATCCTCCACAGCCCCATCCTGCTTCACCATTCAGAAATGTCATCAGTTCCCTAGTAATGCAGTAAATATTACACTACTGAGCTATACTATCCTCAGGCAGCTCTTAGTCTACAGCAAAAGCCCTGCAAAGTCTAGTTTCTCTGGGTGACTAAGCCAAGGTGCTTATCTCTGAGCAGAGATTTCCACATCAGGCCAATTGTGTTGTTAAACTGGGAGAGCTCTCTGTTCTTTCAAGTACTCGCTTTCTTCCCGGGGCCAGGTATGGCCATTGTTCCCGGGGCTCCTGCAGCCGCCCATTGTTCCTCCCAGCTCCTGGCCTTTGATGCTGCAGAACAAAATGCACAGTGTTTGTGAAAGGAGGGAAAAATCAAAAAGCTTTTCAATTACACAGTTGGTTGAACAGCTCAGGCACAGCTGGCCGAAGAGCACCAGGGTGCCAGAACCTCTCCATAAACTGGGGCCTCCAGCGAGGCCTCTAGGCCAGCTGCAAAGTGAACCAAAAGAGAGAATGAGCAGTAGTTGATGGTTATCTGGTGAACTTTCATTTCATCACTTCCAAATTCCAAATGCTCCTGGATAGTACAGACTTTCACTAACCTCACACACACATTTAGTAGCTGCCAGCTGGAAAAAGCTAGAAATTACTCCTGCTTCATCCTGTCAGCATTGCTCAGAACTGGCTCAAGAGACAACACAGTAGCATCTAGATTCACTGCCTCCACTTCCAGACTAATTTGGCTGACATCAGGCTGGGGCTAGCCCCGCCTGAGTTGCATTGGCAGAACAGGTCAGAGGTCTGAAATTGTGATCGTCTTACAAGGAGGTCTGAGGTGCGCCAGCAGGGCCATGGGGAAGGAGAGCCAGCAGGCTGGGATGCTCCAGTCACAGCTGGCAAAGTTGTTTCATGGTCCAGTTACAGACCCTTCAGGTCCTGCTGTGTAACACGCTGTTCCTGATACTGCAGTGTTTTGGGCAAATACAGTGCTCTACCTTGTGTTCAGTTTGCCACTTTTTCTCTTATTGCCAAGATGACAGATTTCAGGATGTCAGAGATGTGAGGGGTCTTCTAGTCCATCTGGGTCTGTCACCTTAGTCCGTGCTAGTATCTTCTGCAAAAGAATAGGCAGTGCCAGCGAGAGAGCTCTCCGGAAGGATGAGTCTATGGAAAAAGCTAATAAAATAATAAGAAAACACTTGCACAAAAAAGGGCCAGCCAGCCGGATCTTCCTGGGACAAAGGCACTCACACTCTCTTTTACAAATATATTTTATTATTTTAATGCTTATTAAGAAACGTAACCAAGACAGACTCAGCAGCACCAGCGGCTCCTCACTGCCCAGCAGTCTGATGACTTCACAGATATGAAAACTTCACAGATTCAAAAAAAAAAGATAAAATAAAAACAACCTTTGGTCAATGCACTTTAAATACATTTGCATGCACAGATTCTCCCCCCCCTCCCCTCCCCTCCCCTCCCACTGAAAACTGACAAACAGAGGGAAAACAACAACTATATTCATAAAACATTTAAATTAAAAGAGTAATTGTTTTATAGTGACAGTGTGTGCAGCAGGGTGTTCAGTGTCTTGGCTTGCAGACCACAGAGACAAACGCTCCACAGGACAGGGGCAGGATCACCAGCTCCTGAGACAGAGTGGGAGAAGCAAAGGATGTTCTCAGATCAACGGGTTCCAGTTGTGATTTGAACACATCCTTGTGTGAACAGTCCCAGCAGACAAATAAGGCAGGGAGTTACACACAACACTGCCCAAGTTTGGGGATTCGCAGTGTTAGTCACCTCTCACGCAGATGAGGAACTGGTGTGATTTTACACTTGATGTGGTTTACTGTAAAGAGGGCCAAAAGCTCAGGGCTGGAAAGAAAAAACTCTCTGCTATGAGTCAGTGCAGTTTGATGCCCAAAACAAATTGGGAGAGAACCGACTATGAGGCAGCTAAACTTGTCAAACACCACTGAAGAGTATTCTACAGTTTAAACGCGTCACAGCACTGTTACAGCATGCTCATCCTTCCCACAGAACACAGCTGGATTGATTTGTTTTTAGGTCAGGCTTATGTTCATGAACTGGAAGGGCTTTTGTTACACCTGGACACACTCATGAAATTGAGACAATGCATCTGAAAAGGAGATAATCCACAAGAACCATCTCTACCTCAGTCACATATAGACCATATGAAGTCAACCCTCCGCACACATCGGCCAAGGTTGACCAACCTGCAGTGACCCCAGGAGAGCCGTAAGATGTACATCCTTTCCAGAGTCCTTCCTCAGCAAGTCACACCTTGGTGTCATGCCAGCACCAC